TATATATATACATAAATATATGTAATATAAACACATAAAAATGTATATAATAAGCATAATATAATAAATGGTTTACACATACAATAATAATGAATCTAATATCGTTATCTCATATTTTATTGTGAGCAAATATTTTATTTTTTCTTATTTTATATATTTTATCTTATTACTATAATCATCTTATCATATATTAGATGTATAACTGATTATTTTTTTAATAATAAATTTTTCAGAAGTTTCCTATTCAAATAGAAATATAATATGAAATTATATAATATGAAATATGACAATGACAATTGCTGTTCTCTGATAGATAGATTGAGTCATATTCAATCGTATTGTATTTACATTTGTGTTTATGTTTCGCCTGTTTGTCATTTATCGAATTAAACTATCCCTACAATAAAGAAATTGTTTTTAATCTCATTGGCTCCATTTGGCAGAGCAAGCAGCTTTACAACTGTCGCGAAATTCTTGAACAGAATCAATTTATATATTTGAACCCAGAAAAATTATTAGAGCATAACAAATCATATCAAAGAATTTTACAAAGCTGTTTTTTCTGTTGAATGCAGCTAATAATAAATCCAGAGTTGTACAGAAAATTGATTTAATTTGCAGTATATTCTGACAATAATATCAAAAAGCTGAGCAAAGTTGTATCTTATCAGATTTCTTTCACGCATGAATCCTAAAAATTAATAATGAATTGGTAAATGAATTACCAATTCCTTTGTCGCAATCATTATTTTTCATTGTGTACAACGAAAGTAATATGGTTGGCGCTTTTCATAAATGTACAACGAATGTATCATATTAAATTAATACTTGTAGATGATTTCTTTTAATAAACTGACTTTGACTAACTGGATTAATCTACAGGATTCACGAATTACGTATTTGATTTTTACGATCTCTGTCACCCCGACATTACCTGTTCTTTGGATAACAAATTTTTCAGCGTGAAAGGCGAGTGCAAGTTTAATTTGTCCGTACCGGGCACGATACTTTTATACGGAAAATCCGTAAAACGTAACAAAAGCTATATATAGTAGCTTAAACAGCTTAAACATATGTACGTTTTCTTCGTTTCTTACAGCAGTAGTTGGAACAAATTTTATCGAGATTTCTGCAATATCCAATTACGCGTAAAAATACCTTGACGTGAATATTTCATACTCTTCTATATGGCAAAGATGACAGTTGTACACTTACTGGTATTCAGTGGTGTAAAACAGTAAAAGATTTTCCTTGCTGAGCTATAATGGTATTTATGAATCTAGCCACACTCGTCAGTCAAACTTACAAAGTTTCTGTTTTTTTCTCATTTCTATCAATTATAAAAGAAATATTAATATAAAATCATCTTTTTATTGTGGAACTATCAATGGAATTTCTAATCAGTAGATTTGGACAGTTCGGCAATTTTTGCGGTAAAATATTTGTTAGATTATATTTTTGTAAAGAATGAAATGTTTTTGCGCGCTTTATATATTATTAGTTAATTAATTTTTACATCAATAATCTCACTAAAAATCAAAATTTACGAAAAATTGGTGAATAAACATTAATGCCCTTTGGAATTAAAAAAAAATTGAATTATCCATAATTTTTAATGACACATATTTTCTTTTAAGCGTTAAAGTTTTGATGTTGAAAATTCATATTTCGTAATTAATATTTTAAAACAAATTTAGATTATGACAATGTTCTCTAAACATTTTTCGCTGATCATCTCTCTAAAGCTGAACGAAAAATTTGATTTATTGATTTTGCATTAATGTATTATATTAAATATGTAATACATTATAAGCAGAAATATAGAAACTTTATTATTCCTTCTCCTACATGTTTGTTTCTTGTTAAATCACATTCGAGTTGTACATCATGTTTTAGCATTCTTATTAAAACACTTTGACAATTCAGAACTAACGATAACAAGACTCACGAAAAGGAAACATTCGATACGCGATTCAAATAATATTTCTTGTATTTCTTTCATACGTCAGCCAGGGCACCAGGTGAATTCGGGAGCAAGAAATTTCTCTTGATTTTCAACGGGCGTAATTAAGCGCGCGCGCCACGCCGAGCTGACGCGACACGGACAATAGATGAGCCAGGCGGGTAGCCTTAATTAAATGGTAAAGGCGGCCGATTAGTTGGCAAACTCGCGATAGTGGAAATTTATTATATCCAATGCAACCCGCGGGGTCTCACGTGCGCGCTCCTCCACCGTCTTTCGTGCCGTCGTTACCACACCCCGTTGCCCATCTTCCGTACAACCAGGCTGGCGAATCGGGGGTTGGTTTGTCGCGCATAAATCCTGCCGCTCTCCAGATGGGATACACGCCGTCGCGCGACGATCAGATAGATGCTTAATGCAATTATACGCCTCGGAAGGAGCACCGAGACCGATACCAGTTTTCATGAGATTGCTGCACGTGACCAAGCTTGTATGCTTCGTCGCGCGGATCAACGAAGCGTAATTACTAATTTCCCGTTGTCCTGTGAAAGAACGACGTGCGGTTTTGAATCTTTTGGAGACGCGGGCTATTGAGAAAGAGAGGATTATAAATTAAATTGTCTTTGTCTTTCTCGGAAGAAAAGGTATGAAAAGAAAGAAAATGCGTGATAATGTAAGATAAACAAGACTACGAGATTAATAAAAACTGTTCACATGTTATATTTTCAGCCGAGTGTTGAGGAAAGGATATACATATATTATAAATCATCACGGTACGTCGACCGGGGGGAAGAACGAAGATCAATTCGGGCACTTCTCGCGCAGACGGCTGATTATTCGCATCCTGATTATCGAACCTAACCAGGGAACACAAGCCTACCCGCCGCAAACAGGCCCGTCCGTGTTTGCGCTGTGTCGGCCAAAACTGTGTGGTCACGATGGAACGTAGAAAGTGTCTCGTTCACCACACGAAGTGGTACGGATGCTGCGCATCACGTCGAGTCGGTGGACGAGTCGATCTCTATTTCGTCTAATTCGTTTAGCGAAGAATTTAGAAGTCTATGATCTTTTTAAAGAATTGATTAGACTCTCTCTGGAGACCGGTCTAAATCGATCGGCGCTCCTCGGCTTCATTATCATACTCTGTATTAGCGCCCAAGTGAGTCGGACGCACCAGAATTCGCTCGTCAAAGATATACTGCCGCATATACGGGATCGCGCCGCGCACATATTTGCAGATTAATCTGAATCCAATTCTCTCGGATTTTCGCGAAGAAGCGCCCCCGACCACGCTGTTGCACCGAACTCCACGATTATGCGCAATCGATAAGGGAGGAGGGGGGAAGGGGTGGGTGATATATTCGCATATTTCGGCGTATATCCCGGCGCACCTCGACGAATTCTGCTGTTCTATCTCGACGTGCTTGGCGCGCTCCGCGTTACTCTGGTTTACTCCGACATATTCTCTCTCTCTCTCTCTCTCTCTCTCCCTTCGTCTCCCTCTCCCCCCCCCCCTCTCTCTGTCCCTACGACGTAATCAATATATCGTGTTGCTGAGACCTTCTCGGCGTCGTCGGCAGGTAGGTTTAGGCATGGCTTTTCAGGTATAGCCAGACACACCAACAGACGCACCAACCCTGGATAGATATGTATCGCGCACCCGTGTGCACACACCCCGGTATCTCCGTGCTAATTAATATCTCGGACACGGCATCTCCCGCCGCGCGAGATGCTGTTGTTGCTGCCGTCGCTGATGCTGTTACTGCCGCTGCTGCTCAGCGTCGTCGGCGAGGTCGAACGGGATAATCGATCTGATCGCTGGTTTTTAATAGACGCTCGAGGCTGGTCTGTTCTAATAAAAACATTCTTTTTATAACCCTCCCCTCTTCCCCTCTTCCTCCTCCCCTCCTCTCTACCGTGTAAACCCGACGTCCTGTTAACCGTAGTTGCTTTAGTCAACTTGGAGAAAATTTTTTTTCTCGGCGAAAATATCGATGAGAGGTAATCGTGTCCCCGTGTAATTAAATCTCAAACTTTATCATTCAATTGAAGTAAAAATTTTCTCCCGCGTCGGGGACTAAGTTCATCGTTATCAGTGGTAAACTTTTGACATTCAAGGAAAAACGATTTCGTATCAATCAAAGATTCTATAATAAAAAAAAAAAGAGAGAAAAGTGCAAGAGAGAGAGAGAGAGACTTGTCTCCTATTTCTCGTATCTTATACGTATATATATCGACATACATATATATTAGTAAAAGAGGACTGGTGTTTACATGGTTCAGTGTACGCGCGTTCGGAAATTATTGATCTTGTTCTCAAGCACAACTCGGGCAGATTCATTATTGGGTTTTATATATACGATAAGCTCGTTAAGTTTATTAAACGTAAAATAGAAGGGAATAATGAACGAGATGGCCGACAAAAATTACGTTTCCGTTCAGCATAAGGTTCGAATTATCCGGTGATAGTTTCCTTAACCGGTCATTTATACTAAATGCGTCCTCTGCATTCATAATTACTCCATTAGATTTAGTTAAATTTCACGAGAGAAATTTCCCGTAGAGGAAAAAAAAAAGCGTCACTCGTCGAAATCCAATGGATTCCCGTGATAAGAATTCCGAAGTTTGATTTCTTACGCGAGACACTTGATTTTGACTCTTTATTTCTTTAATCCGCAGGTCTGGAGAACCGCCATGATCGGGATTTCCTGACTCTGGGATTATTCCGTCTCGCACCGTCTCAGCTCAGCTTCAGTTTCTTCCGTAGACAGTTCCCGTTGATTGTGGCTGGATGCGATCGCGGCGGGTTGGTACGCAATTAATCAGCCCGTAAATGATGCCCGCCTTGCCCCGCTCGTGTTGTCGGACGAGACGACGCCGAGGCATCGGGCCTTAATTATACAGCCGGTTTGCGGCGAGCACAACGACGAGGCGTCTCTGTTTCCTCGCCGCAACAAATTGCCCCGTAATTATTCCGTGACTGTCGGAAAAGTCGGACCACATTTCGATATAAAAGTACCAACGGTGAACGAAGCCAGAATATCGTTAGATAGCTTAGATTAACGGAAATGCGAGTCCTTCTGTACAGTGACGCGTGGAAAGCGAAACAATTTCTCTTATTATTCTTTTAAAAATGTTCTATTTACTGGCTGTCTATTTTCTCTTAAGTGGCGTTTACGACGAGATTTAAAATTGAAGCTTTAAGCCTTGAACCGTAAGAAACTGACCAATCATAGTCAATTATTCTTCTGACGTTTGACTGTGATTGTTCAGTTTCTCACGGCCTGAGACTTAAAGTTTAACTTTTACTACTTAAAATCTCATTGTGGTCGCCGCTTTATGCGTATTAACTAAGTATCCGATTATAAACAGTGTACATTGTTATACATATATTTTAAATAAACGAAATCACGTAGGAAAGTGTCATTTGTTCCAGCATGCTCGAGCAAACTCATCTTCCTCGCGATGGCGATATTCCCCGCCATCAATTCGGGTTACTGGCGATTGGGTCAAACCATTATCCGTTATGTTATTGTAACAGACAGACCTATAACGGCAAAGTTTCGAAAAATCTTTACGTGACATGATAAATTCTTAAATACTGGATATTAACTTTTAAGAAAATTTACTAAACGCTCACATCGCGGAGTGCAACGTAATGAGCTCATAATGTAAATTTAACGACCTGTACAATAAATCCACGGATTTTATTTCACAAATTAATAATGGAAATATTTGTAGAAGTGGGGAAAGTGAGGCCATCGCGTAAATGGCGCGTTGTAATAAATTTCCAATACATAATCGAATTAATAATTGCCATAAAATTATATATTACAATGATGAGCATTCATTTAATAGTCATCAGGAAACCACGAAGAGACAATGATTACTCTTTTACCGTCGGAAAATTATTGCGTAATTTCATATATCCGAAGATATATCAATTAACGGACTTTATTAGACCATAACAATTTACGGGAGCATTTCTGTATGCGGCGCGCGGGAAGAAGAGGAGGGAACTCCTCTCCGGTTTTCGGACAGATTATCGTGGGGCTTATTGTTCCCTTTTAGCTCCACCGGCATCCGCGAGACCGGAGGCGCTCCATTATCAGTTTTTCGTGCGTTTATGCCCGGATGCGACCTTAATTACCTTCCCTTATACTCGCGGCTTATTACGTTCCCCGAGTATAATATAACGCGGCTCGATAATCCCGCTCGCCGCTAGACTTAGCAGTATCGGCCGAATTACAGTGCGTGAAGCACGTTATACCGCGGCCTCGGGGTTGTATATCCATGTTCCTCCCCGGACCACAACGGTGGACCATAAATACGGTTTAAGTTATGGCAGCTACCTCGTGCTATATCTCGGTTAAGTTTATTTCGACGCTGATTAATGTAGGATTGCCGGCACATGCCGTATTCACGGCTGCCCTCCAGAACGAATACGAGGTTTCGAAAAAACAGGGAAAAGGTACAATTTCGCCATTGGGGGGGAGTCTGTTCGAATTTCGGCGTAGCGAATATGAAGGAATCGAGGATAGTATTTACACCGATTGACAACGTTTGCTATGAAAATTCGTCGACGTTGCAGGTGAATCGTTCAGACGGTTGTGTTTGCGGATAAACATGAACCAAACAGAGGAATAGCCCTCCCAATTTCCCGACGTTTGACTAAAACTCGCGTACAGGACAACCGGCGCTCTCGTGTTCGTCGTAAATCGATACGTCAGGTGTGAATTGCGACGCGTTCGATTGCCCGGACCGCATGAGAGGGGGATGGCAAGACGGCTGTAGGCAGAGAAAGAAGAGTAAGATGAGAGAAAAAAAATTAAGTGACAACAGAACAGAAGCATCGGAAGGTATATGTAGAAGAAGGGAGCAGGACGTGGCAGGACGGAGGATCAGTGGCAATAGGTGCAATAGGTCATCGCAGGGCGGTTCAAGGGATGGGAAGGGGGAGGCCAGAGCGGAGGGACCGAGTGGGGAGTGGGGACGGTGAGCAGTTCAATGAAAGTCATCGTAAACGGAAGGGGAGCGGAACTGCGAAACGGGGCACACAGAGGGATCGGAGAGAACGCGGGTGGAGGGTAGAGAACGGGAGAGCGTTCCGCCATGCCGACGTCGTGGGAGAAAGACAGCGGGAAAGAGAACGCCAGAGAGCTTGCGCAAGCTTCGACCCGCCGCAGCTCCGATCGGCGGACGGCGGCAGCGGTTAAGCCAGCCGCACGTTCCGAGTTTTCGTGCCAGCAGTCGACTCGCAGCCTGGCTTTCCAACTGGCACGCCGGAGTGCTTTCTCGTACTGTGCCCTCTCGCTTCCTCGTTTCGTCCCTCTCCTCTTCTCCGGGTTCTCTCCTTCTCCTCGCAGTCTCTCTTTTAATCTCTTTCTCTCTCTCTCTCTCTCTCTCTCTCACTCTCGCTCTCTCTCTTTCTCTCTCCGCTCTTTATCCCCGGTGTTTCATATTCCATTATCCGCGACATGACGCGTTGATGATCTACACGCTGCAGCGTAGAACCAACAGCAGCGGTAGTGCTCGTTTGGGACTGGAAACCACCACCGCCGCCGGTGGTGGTCCACTACGAGATCAATTCAATTTCGAGCAACATCCTTGAAGCGTCTTTTGATAGCTCTATGTGCGTCAGTGCGCGATTAAGAATCGCGAGGAAAACTGTGCCAGGCGACGTAGTCGTGGTCGATACGTCAAGGACGACGATAATGTAAATTCCAGTACGCAAACGATTCGCTTTGGAAAGACGTCTGTCCTGATGAGAGAGAAGATGGCACACTCGAAGGGTTCCGCGTGGAGGAAAGTATCGCCTCGGTGATTTCAATCGGCAGAACGACCTCTCCGAAGATCGGAGTAATCAGGATGAAATCGGAGTAATCAGGGAGCATGAGAGTGTTATGGTAAAGGTGCGTGAATGGACGTACGTACTCCATTGTCGATGTACAGTAGTTAAATTACCCCGAGTTCTCCATTCAAAAAAAAAAAAAAAAAAAAAAAAAATCAATTTCTATTATTTCTCTAGCGATTTAGAGCTAAGACTATCTCTAAGAAGTTGCATGATCTTTTTATTTGGATTCTGAGATTTCTCAAAGTTTTTGTTTCCAGTTTGTTTTGATAAAATTAATGTATTTTGATTAATGCCTGTTCTACAACAGGATCGTAAGAAATTGACGAATCACGATCGAACGCGAGAAGAATAATCGATTATGATTGATTCATTTCTTACGATTTACGATCTTGTCGTAGAATAGACATAAATTTTTCTCCTCTTCCGTCTTCTAAAACTGTGTAATGTGTATGTAGTAAAGAAGAAGAATTCCTGAACCTTTGCTGGATCCGAATTGTCGGTGTAATCGCGATCAAATCGTCGCGGAAATCACGTTCTCGTTGTGTATGCATCCCGCATCGGAACACGCGTTTTCGACGTCGAGACGGTAATACGAAATAATCACGACGAAATGTCAGTAAATCGAGGAAAAACAATCGCTCGGCGAGATCGTCGAGCGATCCAGTTTCCTCTAACCCTCGTGTCTCCTTGCTTGTTTTGTAAAACGCGCGTCGTCGAACGCATCCCCTATGCACGCACGTAATCAACGAGCGATCTAAATTGCTGATGCGCTAACCGCTTCGAGCTCGGTTCACTCGACATTTTCAGCACGCGCCTGCTTTTATTCGATTCGCGCACGCCGATAGAATCTGAAAATCCGCGAGTGCATCAATTCTAC